GGGAAGACTTGTTTTTAAATGTTGAAGTTAAAAGCATCAATCTGGTGCACTTTGAGAGCAACATTATGAGATCTATGGATACATCTCTCAACATCCATATGAAACAGAACTGTAAGCATGTTTACTTTTTCTTTATGGATATTTTACAAATCACTCCCCTTTTAAACTGTATTCTTGTTTATTAATAACAACTTTTTTTTACTGTCATAGTATTTTATACCTGTTTACTTTATTCTCTTATTTTTTTATAACTATAACGATCATATAAAGATGTGCCTTTACCTCACTGGTTGGAGAAAAAGCTTCTTATATTCGTTAGCATAGCTAGCTAACCAGATGCTAATAACAAGTTATTGACTGGATGATAAGTATGACAGATAAACAGATCGCCACTGGGCTTTCAACTAAAGACACAGCCACGCAAAAACTGCGGCATGTGTACGGCTCCTTATCTGAAGTGCCAGAGCCGTGTTCTGGTGCTCTCCGTCAGCACTACACCCCTGTCAGACGAGAAATATACCTCGTGATGACACGTTAGGCTCGTGTTGTGTTCAAGGACCCTGATCTTGGCCAGGAAAAACAGGCTCTCGCTTGTTTAATTCTTTTGCGGTCTAGATTTCTTTTTTGCGTGTGTTTTATAAATTACCTCGAGGGCCGTATCAAATTGTCTCGCGGGCCGTATACCGCCCAGGGGCTGGAGGTTCCCCATCCCTGTGTTAAAGGAACAAGACTTTTATTCTGCTTATCTGTTTTTAAACTAAAGTACACATAAACCAATTGCTTTTGCTTTATTACACATAACATCATCACATAGGTCGCACGGTGCTGATTTGTTTTTAAGTGTACTGGGGATGAGAGCAGACAGGAAGCATTTTTGCTAATTGCAGTGTTATCTTTGTCATTTATTACACACACATTTTTATTTTCCAATTATTAATGTTTTTTACTTTCTATTTAGTGAGACCTGTTGATTTGCTTATACAGGGATCTGTCTGACTCTGTGAAGTTTAACTTTTCTATGAAGCTAGGAAAACATTATTCTTTACCCAGCCGAACACCTCAACAACGTTTGTACAAATTCCCTTCAGCTCTGAAAGGAATAACTATTAACGTGTTCTTTCTAATGCTTCTAGATTTAGCCACCTTTTAAAAATACAACACAACTTTTGAACAAATGAAAGCAAATACATTTTCTTTTCACAGGTGCTTTGGCTGCCCAACCACCCAAAGTCGCTGCCTCCATCCCATCTGCCTCCATCCCATCTGCCTCCTTCCCATCTGCCTCCTTCCCATCTGCTCCACCGACATTCCCAAATCTCAGTTTTCCTCCAGCTGCTGCTCCCGCTCTTCTGGCCCCTGCTGCCGCTCCCTCTGCGGCCCCGTTCAGCGTCGCTCCCGCACCTCCCGTGTCCTCTGCATCATCGTCCAGCTTCGCTTTCTCGGTCCCAACTACCTGCGCCTCCTCTGCTCCTCCAGCTTTCTCCGTGGCGACAACCGCACCTTTTGTCTCCGTACCCTCCAGCTTCTCCTTTGCCAAACCTCCCTCTGACACTCCTTCAGCACCTTCAGCCTTTTCTTTCGCCCCAACCATCAAACCAGCAGCCGTGGCATCTCCACTTCCAACTCCGACACCCCAGAGTATTGCTGCTGCCTCCCCGACAGTGAAACTAAATCTGGCTGATAGGTAACAGACTATATTTCACACCTTTTTTACACTAATCGTGCTGGGACTCAAAGACTTACAACATATGTTAGACCCTCCAGAAAAACGCGGGCAAAAATCCTTGATTATGCGATTAAACATGTAGGGTTTTATGTGATTTTATGCGGTGAAACTGCGGGAAGTTGCGAAATATGAGAAAAAAATTATCGATTTTTTTTAAAATATTGGGCTGTCTTATTTATTCTCTCTCACACACAACCTGCCACTAACGTTAAACCCCTTTCAATTCAATTAAACACATTCAATGTTTATTTATTGTAAAAGCAATTGGGCTATTTTAATCCCACGCACACACACACACACACACACACACACACACACACACACACACACACACACACACACACACACAGTCTGACCCCTTCTGGATGGTAGCATCAGTCATTTCTCTCTTTTATCTTCTTTCTTAGTACAAAGACATTGTAAATGAAGCAGGCCTGTAAAATGGGATTGAGCCGCATGGTTTAGTGTTTGTCACACACCCCTTTTAAAATATGAAAATAATTAAAATGTCGTTGTTAGCAGTTGTAGCTTCTGGTTACTCCTACCACGTCACAACATCTGTGTCTGCTTCTGTTTTCAGGTTTGCCTCACCACCCAGCGGCCCATCCTTTGGGTCCCTAGCCAATCAGAGCGCTCCGTCGTTCGGGGGCCTGGCCCAGCAGAGCCCTGGGTTTGGGACTCAGCCCAGCAGCTTCTCCGGCTTTGGACAGCAGCCACAGCAGGCGGGAGGTGAGACTACTGCTTTAGAGGCTCTGTTTGTCCCTATTCTTCCCTCATCATCATCATCTTCAAATGTCCTTCCCAGCACTTCTACATAGAGTATGCTGCAGTCAGTGTCTCAAGGGTACTTGGTATGCAGTCCTCCCAACATGAGTACATTTGAATAGTTATGACGACTCAGCATTTTTTACCTTTTTGAGATCAGACTTTCCTTCTTTTCATCTTACAGTACATTTGACTTTACCTTCCACTACGCATTGACACTCACATTTTTTAGAGGGTGATTTTAAGAACCTTGAAATGCAGACATTCACTATTAATTTTTTATAACAAAAGTAATGAAATAATAAAAAAAGATTTACTGTTTTAAAAAAAATAACAGAATATTCGGAACCACATTTCTGTGTGAAATCACCTTTACTTCCTTTCTGCTTTTTTAGGCTTTTTCATGAACCATATACGTACTGTAGATCACACCATCCAACTGCACCCTTCATATATTTATCTTTCTGTGCCTTTTCCGTCTCTATCTTCCAAAGTCCTTTGTAGCAAAGCTTTGCCTGACTCAGGGTTTACGTACACAGCACCATAGATGTGTTTGTTATGGATGACTCATGCGTTGAAATTAAATTGCATTGGTTGGCTGTTTTCATATATTTGATTGCCGCAATCGCCCAACTAACCCCTTTTTTTTTTTCATTTCCTAGGATTCCCCGGACACCCAAACACCTTTGGGTCTGCTAACCAGTAAGTTATTTGTGCGGGAATACAAACCCACATGTCTCTCCTCCCTGTCAGCAGCGTGCTGTGTCTGTAGTGAAGCTCAAATATCTTCAACAGCCCGATTCCCCACAGACCCTTTCTGAATGAATTCTTTGTCTCCTTATTCGCTTAGAGTTGATTCTCTTTGTTGCTATTTCCCCGTATTGAATTAGGGAGGGGAGGAAATGATTTATTAAAGCTTGCCTTAAAAGATGATCCAATAAATAAAGCAATAAACAGCGGCCCATACTAAATATAAATCAGTCTGACCCCTGTGGAAGACGCTGTCCCTGAAACGGGTGGTGCATGAATTAATGCTTTAGTCCAACTTTCTTACTAATTGCCCCCTTGTGATTACATTTTCATCTTGCTGCTGCGTGCCACATGGCGGCCATGTTCCCCGGGGTGTGTTCCAGTGGAATGACCTGTGAAGTGTGCAGGAGTGTGTCGAGGGCGGGCAAAGCCTATTGGACGCATTCCCATGTTGTTAATAATCCTCGTCTCTCCGTCGTTTTTACTCATTTCTTTTGGGACTTTGTCCAATAGTACATTCATCCTAATGCTTATTGTGTTTCTTTACTGAGCTGGGGTGCTTTATTGGATTGCATTATTAGTTTTCTCTTGCGAATATGCAAAACAGGTTGCTTTAATTCATAACTGAAACTCAAAACATTTTGACGCACACAGTGTTTCCCACAGAATTTGATTCTATTTGTGGGGGCACCGCACCCCCCCCAACATGCGAGTTCATGGCTGCTGTAGACAACGTTCTTGTTGCTCTGTGTTGCGTTGTTAATGAGTGAAACACACTGGAGTTGAGGATCTGTGGGGTTTATTCTCCCAAAAATATCATTTACAATTCAGGCATTTCGCAGACGCCTTATTCCAAAGCGAGTTACAATGATCAATTACAGGGACATTCTCCCTGGAGTAACCGAGGGCTAAGTGCCTTACTCAAGGGCACACTAGTAGTGGTGTTCCAGGCAGGATTTAACCTCGCAACGTTCCGATCATCAGCCCACCTCACTATCGATTAGACCACCAAAAAAAAAAAAATAATAATTTTTTTTTTTATGAGATCCA